CACCTTCTGGAATATGTTCAGGTGCAGCAGTTTCTTCTTCAGTAGTTAATGGTGCATCAGTTACTACTGGTTCATGAAGTTCATCTTCTGGAATATGTTCAGGTGCAGCAGTTTCTTCTTCAGTGGTAATTGGTGCCTCTGTTTCTACTGGTTCATGAAGTTCACCTTCTGGAATATGTTCAGGTGCTACAGTTCCTTCTTCGGAAATTACAGGTAATTCCGTTTCAACTGGCTCATGTATTTCCTCCTCTGGAATGTGTTCAGGTGCTGATGTTCCTTCTTCGGAAATTATAGGTGCTTCTGTTTCTGCAGGTTCATGTACTTCCTCTTCCGGAATATGTTCAGGTGCAGCAGTCTCTTCTTCAGTGGTAATTGGAGCCTCCGTTTCTACTGGCTCATGAAGTTCACCTTCTGGAATATGTTCTGGAGCTGCAGTTCCTTCTTCGGAAATCACAGGGGTTTCTGTTTCAACAGGTTCGTGAATTTCTTCCTCTGGAATATGTTCAGGTGCTAATGTTCCTTCTTCTGAAATTACAGGCGCTTCTGTTTCTGCTGGTTCATGGATTTCTTCTTCTGGAATATGTTCAGGTGCAGCAGTTTCTTCCTCAGTGGTAATTGGTGCCTCAGTTTCGACTGGTTCATGAAGTTCTTCTTCTGGAATATGTTCAGGTGCTAATGTTCCTTCTTCTGAAATTACAGGCGCTTCTGTTTCTACTGGTTCATGGACTTCTTCCTCTGGAATATGTTCAGGTGCAGCGGTTTCATCTTCAGTTGCAATCGGTGATTCAGTTTCAACAGGTTCATGAAGTTCACCTTCTGGAATATGTTCAGGTGCTGATGTTCCTTCTTCGGAAACTACAGGTGCTTCAGTTTCAACAGGTTCGTGTGCTTCCTCCTCTGGAACGTGTTCAGGAGCCAACGTTTCTTGTTCAACGGTAATAGGTGCCTCAGTTTCTACTGAAACATGTCCAGGTGCTGAAGTTCCTTCTTCGGAAATAACCGGTGCTTCAGTTTCAACAGGTTCATGTATTTTCTCCTGCGGAACACGCTCAGGAGCTGCGGTTTCTTCTTCAGTGATAACCGGTGCCTGTGTTCCTTCTTCTGGAACCACATGCGATTCCGTTTCAATTGGTTCTTGCACTTTGCCCTCTTCGTGGGTGATTGGTGGTTCAGTTTCCAACGGCTCATGTAAAACGGTTTCAGTAACATGTTCACTTTCCGGTGCTAAAGATTCTTCCTCGACGCCGATCGGAGATTCAGTTTCAACAGGTTCATGAAGTTCAGCTTCAGTAACACTGGCCTCCGTAGGTGCAGGTTCGTGCAATTCCTCTTCAGTTTCTGGAATAATTGGAGCTTCAGTCTCGACAGGTTCATGAATTTCTTCTTCAGGGATATGTTCAGGTACTGATGTAGTTTCATCATCAACAACAGGGGCTTCGGTTTCGTGAATTTCTCCTTCCGGAATGTGCTCAGGTGCAGAAGTTTCTTCTTCAGTAGTTATCGGTTCTTCGGTCATCTGTTCAGCTTCTGCTGGTTCGTGAAGTTTACCTTCAGTTACTTGTTCTTCTTCAACTGGATGAGTTTCTGTGGATTGTTGATCGATTGGCTGGTATTCAGTGGTGATATGTGCTTCGGATTCTGGTACATGTTCAGTGATGATTTCCTGTTCATCGTGAGATGTGACAGTCTCTGGCTGTTCGGTGGCTTTAGCAGATTCATCTGGGATTTCGTGGGACGGTACGCTTCCTTCTTTCTCGCTTTCAGTCTCCAGATCCTTGATTGCTTCAGTGGTCGGCGACAGAGTGTGTTCCTCATCTTCCGGAATAGCGTTTTCATCTTCGGCGATGACCGGCTGGACGGATGTAGGAGTGGAATATTCGTAGGTGACGGTGGTGAGATCCTCTTGAGAAATGTATTCGCAATCGTAAGTGTCCGGGCAACATTGTCCATCGGTTGGCGGAATTGCCGTGCAGTTGACTTTGTCCAAAGGCGTCGGTCCGCATTCCTGCACCGCGCACACAATGTCTCCCTTCATGCAGTAGCAATGTTCGCACGCCTTGTCCTTCTTCACTAAAGCTCCATCCGCGTAGATTTCTCCATCGAAAACGCATTCGGTGGTGGCTCCTGGTGCTTCGGTCGTGGTGAAGATTAAGCCGGTGGTCGGTCGCATGGTGGTAGTAGTAATGAGAGCGGGTTCTTCGTCTTCTGGATGTTCTGCCAAAAAGAATCAAATGGTGACCGTAAGTATAAATCAATGAATCGAGTGCGCGTTGAGTACGACTTACCGCAATCGTATCTGACGGGACAGCACACTCCCTCTTGGTAAATCGGTTTGCATCCTTCGATGTGCAAAGTGCATTCTTGCATAACGCAAGCAGTCTTATTACGAATGCAGTAGCAGAGTTCGCATGGTTTGCTGGGATCTGATGGGACTCTGGCGCCGTCCGAGTAGAACAGGCGGTCGATGGAGCAGCCGTAGGTGTCCAGGTGTCCGACGTCGGTGGAAGGAATTGAAGATTCAGTCGTTGTCGATGTTAACAATTGTACAGGAACTGAAAAATCGAATGGATTAGAATTCTGTTTTCTTTTTGGGGTTTTCTTCATCATACCTTCTGGGCAAGTTATCACAGGGCAGCATTGGTCCGGTCGTTTTTCGACTTTGCAATTCTCGCCGATGGCTTTGATGAACGGACACACCCTCAGGTAGCACATCAGCATTCGGTTATGGCAAGTACAGTTCAGGCAAGGTTCGTTCGTTATTATCCTATCACCGTCGTCGTAGTGCTGGAAATTGTAGTAGCATCCGGTTGCATCGGCGACTGCAAACAAACAGAAAAACAAATGAACATCATCTTCGAGGATGCAAAGGCAACTGAGATCTCTTACCTGGATAGTACGCGTCCATTTCTGTGTTGTGTTCGGCTACTGGCGCTGTATAAAACAAAAACAACAAAAAAAAAACAATCAGTTACATGAAGATGCTGATGATCATGATGATGGATATGTGACAGTGGGACAAGAGCGCAAGCCGCATAACAAAGCGCGCATTATTTTCAATCAATTTGGGTGAGTCACAATTCCGTAAAGGGAACGCAAAACGAAAAACTAAATAAATGAGCGGAGAGATAAAGGTTGAAAGAATGATGCATAAAACAAAAGAAGCGAAGAGGTAGAAATAAAAACAAAAAGGAGAAGAAGCTGCAGCGAGTCTGTTGGTTCGATGACCGTCCGCTCGCTGAATTAAACATCGGCGAAATCCAGTTTTATTTCGACCATAGATATATTTTTTTCCCTACCGAATACCGTTGCGCCCGAAAAAAGACAAAACACCGAAAGATATTACCGATTCAGAGACCGTAAAAGGTATTTCTTATGTATTCAGGTTGCATTCGTCGGACGAAGGCTGTGCAATAAGAATTGGAAACAATTGTAACACACGGAATGATATGTTGATTATGATGATTGTCAATTGGAACAATTATTTAACATTAAAGAATTTCATTCAATTTCATTACGACAAATACTTCCATTGCTGATAATTATGTAATAGATGCAGTGATCTTGAGTGAGATGGTCATCATCGTCCGTGGGAACAATTATAAATCTCTTCTCGATCGCTTCGGATTGTTATCTTGCAGGATTTAATTTCGCCTTCCAGATCGCGGCGGTCGTGCGCGATGCAGCGCAACAATGTAACGGTATCGGCAGTTGCATAAGCACGTTTTTATGATTACGTGCTTCCTTCCCTACATTAAATTGTGCATGTGTATGCAATTCGTGGATGCATGCATTACAAAAAGAAAAAAAAGTTTTGCACGGGTGAAGTCGCCGGGTTTTCTCGAGCTCCGCGAAATCCGAAAAAGATTGCTGGTAACATCAAAGACTAATTGCTGTATACGAGAGCAATTTTCTGGGTGAACTCTTCCGAGGATAAAAGCGAGTGTGTGTGTGGATGGATGAACGTCGTCGTTTTGCTTGAGCAATGGCGAGAAAAAGGCGGTTGTAATGAGTGTGTAAACCTGGCAATGAAAACGAAAACGTTTTTCTTTTCCGTTTCCTGCTCGTTTTTCCTTTCATATTTAATCTAATCTGTCACATCCAACGTGCGGCGGCAAAAGCAACAGCAGCAGGAGAACAACAGGTTACTGAACGTCTAGACTCACTAAGTGCGAAACAAAATAGTGACCGATGCTAATTTCAATGTTAAACAACTCGGAGAGCGCGCTCACACAGAGAGCGAGAGAACAAAAGCACACACATAATTATGTAAGAAAATAAAAGTTGCGCGTTTGTTCTTTTCTGTTGCTTCTACTTCTTCTATTCTTCGCTTCATCTTCCAGGTCATCGTTCTTCCAAAACGGGCGCTCGATTTGCACTCACCTGAGAGGATTAATGATGGCATCATTGTGGCCACCACGAGAAGTGCCACCAGGGCCTCCGACCCTGAACTCCACGCCGACATGGCGTGTCCTGGAACAAATTAAAAGAATTATTTAGTATTTATATTATTAAATGAAACGCTGCTGGTTCTCGCAGCGATTAATTGTAAATTGTCGATGACGACGATGATGAATATAATAATAATCATCATCATCATCATCATTATCATCGTTTGCCGAGGGATTATTTAATTCTTATTCGCACGGACAGCAACAGCATGACTGGGCTGGTCTTTGACTCTGCGAAGAACAATCGCGTAATGATTGAGATCCATCGATAAATCGAGGCCTCCGACCAACCCGATTGTAGTAAAATACAAAACATTCCGTCCACTTCTGATCAATTTCTATATATCTTTTCTACCTTTTGTGTGCATCATCAACCCGAGCAAACGTCTCGTTAAGAGAAATTACGAGCGCGCGAAACTAGCTTCATTGAATCGCCGAAAACGCAAACCTAAATTCGTATCGCTTAAGCTCAATAACGATAAAACGCGCGCGCCGGATCTTATGTAACCGAAACGTTCTTTGCGTCGCCGAACGGAGGAATTCCTTCACGGATGCCGACGGTGAGAAGAAGAGAGACGCAGCACAAGAAACACAAAAACATTTCTCGAATTAATTGGGAATTTATTCATCATCGAAACCATTCGTTATTTATATTTCCTAAATCGATTTGGATGGACTCTACTTCTCGGAATGGACAACGACGACCCGCTGCACCGAATATGAATATTTCATTTACATCGCTAAATTCCTCGATCACCAAATTCTTCCATCAAAGAATTGAGTGAAATAAAGTGATGTAATCTTGTGATTTCTATTGTTACCATTACATAATTAATTATGACAATAATTGATTAGCAGAAATTCTGAATGAAATCATCCGTGGGATAAGATCCGTTTCGTGTGTCCATTTCTTTCTCCTATTATTAATTTTTTTTTTGCAGATTAATTTGGAACGTGTCGTGGGGTCGAGATGGTGCAGAGTGAAAGGTGTAATAAACGCGTTTTGTATAACGAAAAGGCAACGGTAAGACCGGATTCTGAATCGGACATGTACTGTATTACTTTACATTGCATATACACGAAAAATATAAGTATGCAGAACGTGTCGTGTGTTGTTGCTCAATTCGCGAAACGGATTTTTTTTTTGGGTCTCGGTTGCACAACGTGCTTTATTTGGGTTAAAGCCAATTCGCGAAGATCCGGGCTGAACTGGGTTCGACTCGGTTTCGGTCAATATTTGCTCGGAAAGTCCTTAAAATCCTCAAAAAAAAGAAACTTAAGATCGTAAAGGATGGGAGAGAGATCAAGAGGAATGCACATGAAAGATGCTGCACAGACTCGCAGAAAACGGCAACGTCCTCCTATACTGTTACTTTCGAGTACCGTTCATATCTGCTCGTCCTTTTTCCCCATCATTTTTGTCTTCCTCTTCGTTCAACTCCGAGTCCAATATCCACTTAATAATATTTTCCGAAACCGGGGAGAAAAGAACAAAAAAAAGACGTACACACACACAGAGATGATGGTAGAACGTGCATCGCCAGGACAATGTATAATTTAATCCATTCCTTGCCTCGGCGCACACGGCACGTTTCGCATTCAACCGTGATTCATATGCATTTTCCTTCATCCTTTCGGACATTACTCCAAAAACCGCTCCAAAAACGAACGAAAGCAGCAAAAAAAAAAACAAAATATAAAATTCATCCGCGTAGGCGTCACCGCGTGGTCATCGCCTCCTACGCAACTAAACTTTTTTTTTTAAAAAACTAGCATTTCCTCTCATCAAATTCATACAAATTTCGATCCGCGTAATAATTAATTATTATTTATAATTGTTATTACTGTTGTTGCGACAGTTGGCCGCCGCTAAAACACGAATCCAGTTTCGTTGCCGTCTTCTAACGCCGCGCAATTCCTTCGTCGTTACTTTACAAATTCACCAGAACATTAACACGTAATAATAAAGCTTCTCGGAAACGTTATTATTATTATTACAGCGAAACGGCAGCGACGGACACAATTAAAATAGAAATAATAAAATGAGGAGGAAGCATAAACATTTATAATAATAACAGCAACAAAATAAAGAAGATGCTCATTTATATTTGTTGTTTTTTTTTTTGCAACCGTTATGTAATTGTAAATCTATTACTCTTTTCATCTCTTGCTTTTTACAAATTGTACCGTAATTGGTTTACAAAAATTAATTAATATACTCGAGTTCGATTGAATCTTTTTAATTGTTGCGCTTCGTTTTAAGAGTTGTAATTTTGCAAATTTTCAAGTAGATAAATTACTTGTTTATGGACAGGTTTTTTTTGTTTACACGTCGAATGTGAACATTAAGGAAGTTTAATTAAGAAATGAAGAGAGAATACTTAGTATTTTTACTGGAGTAGAAGTGTGTGTAAACGCGAGGTTCTGGGAACGCATCAAACTGGAAGAGGAGCTCTCGTCGGTTATGCGTTTTCCAGTGAGAAGAGAGACGGTAATTTAACGCGATTACGCGATTTTAGTGCGATTTAATTTTGCGGCGCGTTTATGGAAAGGAAGACGAAAAGGTGCAAAAGAGAGTGAGCGGAGCGCGCTCTTGCTCTTAGCGAGGAGCATTACGCAATCTGCATCTTTCTCTCAGTGTGTATGAATGTGTGTCTGCTCAGGTGTATTGACGCGCTCAATGTCAATGACACGGCTGCATGGGAATCATTGAGTGCGATGAGGATGCAAAAAAGATGTTGGAAAAGAAGGAGCAGGACTGAAAAAAAAAAAGGATCAGCCAGCATCAGTAGAAGCAACAGCAACAACAACAACAACAAAAAAGAGAGTTAATGAATCATCAAGGAAAACGAGTGTAATGATGTAAGGAGAAAAATCGTGTGCCAAAGAAGTTGTTGTTGTTGCTGCTGCCACTACGGCTCCTTCAGTCGATTATTTTTTGAAGGCCTTGATGGAATTACCTAATACAAAAATGGCAAAAAAAGGATGATGGGAAACGCGAAGAGATGAAGCGGATGAGTGGAATCTATGTCGCTAATGAGCGAGATGAGCTCGTTGCCTTTTTGCCGTTCTTCCTGCCACAACTGTTGCCCGTTCTCCTCCTTCTTATATCTAAGCAACAGCAGCTCATTTGGTTCATCTCGCAGGATTAATCGATGCGATTTGCCTCTCCGAGCCACCAATTTGTAGTTTCTATATAAGTATACTTAGGAAGTAATCATCGGTTCGTTTCTTCTCCAATATCTTAATATGATTACTAGACTCGACATCCTCTCTCTCTTTCTGTTGATTTTCTCTCATGGTAAACGCGGAATTCATATTCCAATTGAATCGAAATCAAGAAACACCAATTTACAAAAAACGTTCGTTATTAATAACAATTTAGTTGTTGAATCATCGCGAGGTGATTAATGGGCGAGAATCGGAATTATGTACAGTTTCTAATCATTGTTTTCGTGCCCGGCTGTGGGAATTGGCGAAAATTGATGGGATTCTCGTTCTCTCTCTGTCCATTACACCATTATTTATAAATTTATACGGAGCGAGCGTTTCTTCGGGCGATGCATTAATTACACAATACAGTTAACGAAAATTATAACCGGCAAAGTTCATCATCTTCTTACACTACTTATTTCTATAGTTTCTCACGCGAATTCTTTACAAATTTCAAACTTTCAGATCCATCCAAAAAAAGCAAACGTAATTGGATGTGCAATAATTACTAATATTCGTAATTCAATTAAAATTAATTTTCGTTTAACGAAATTGTTTATTTGCAATTGTCCGAATCACGTAAGCTGTTATAATGCATCAATTCCCAGAAAGTAATTACATGAGATTGATGAGCAAACAAACAAAATAACTGTACGAAAATAATAATTTAATTAATGTTAATTCGATCGGCGCTAGATTTTTCCACGATACAACAACGGTGAGGAACTTCCAAGAAGTTATGCAACGCGAATTGATGTGTGTGATCCACCTTGACGTGTGCTTTTGGCATACGTGTTGAAATTTAATTTCGATCGAATTTCAATATCGTGTGAAGCGAAAAAAACTTCTACTTTTCTGCATTAGATCAGCAAGGACGAGATGAAAATACATATTTTTATTTACGTGACTTAAAGCTACGTTTATTTAATCAAAATGTTTATTTTTGTAACAGCGATTATTTCGCAGCAATTGTAAACAAACTCTAAATGAAATTAGATGATGGAAATTCTACCTAAAATTAAATTAATGTTTTGTTTTTTTTTGTTTAGTTTATTTCTTGCGCCAGAGTTCGTGTCGTAATATCACCATTTATTTTATCATTATCACTTTTTAATTCGTTGCGAATGCTTTGAAAATTTGTCGCAATGTTCTTTACCTAGTAAACGTGTTTTCTGGTCTCTCGAGGTTACTTGAATATGTTCGTCAGTTAATCAACACGAATTAATTCCAATTAATCAATTGAAATTAATCGAATCTGCATTAGTTTACGTAAAGTATTTTTTTTGATTCAAAGAAACCATAAGGTGTTACATTTGCATTCGTTTAAAGCGAAAAAATAACTTGCGGTTGATTCTTATTAATCAGTGAGAACTCTTGAAAATCACGATTGGAAATATTTGTATATTGATTGGGATTCTTTGAAGAAATATCGTTTTTTTTTTCTCATTTACATTGGAAATATTGGTGAGCGTAATTCCCATTAGAGTTTGATTTGATAGAATATTGAAAGAAGTTACAGAAAAACTGAAAAGGAAGCGAACTTGACCACCAAATTCGTTCTGGATTGGCAGAGTTTCTTTTTTCTGCGGAGCGGTGAGTCACGAGCCTTGAACTTATGCCGAGGCCGAAAAACGCGCGTACACAATTTCCATGTCTTTAGCCGAAAATTCCGCCTACGCAATTTAGCTTTAGAAACGGGACCATTTTTTTTTTTGTATTTAATTTCATAAATTTAAGACATTATTTCTCTTGGTGAAGAGAAATGTACAAACTTTGATCTTTCTTACAGTTTTATTTATTGATTTTATG